TCAAAGCACCAAAGGCGCTATAGGCAGTTAATTAAAAAAATCAAAGGTAAACCTGGCAGAAGTTAAGATGAATATAGCGGAAGAATGGATGAAAATATTTTTCTCTAATTCTTCGTCAATTTATCCCTTTCTGCACCCATTGTATACAAAAAATTTAATCAACGTGTGGTTCGTTTGATCTCAGTTCTTCATTGGTTAAAATCCGATTATGACGTCGAATTTACTTGCTTTCCTCTGAATTTCCTATTGTGACGGCATGAAAAAAGGCGACCATGTCTGATGACGTCACATAGAAAGAACACATCTTTTTACAGATCATTCGAAAAAAACGGAATAAGTTTGCCTGAATATTGTTTGAAAATCATTAGAGAAACAGATTCCACCACCAAATCTCGTGTAATACGATATTTATCCACTCTCGACAGTTAAATTTTAAATATTTAAAACGCTCGGCGAGCCTCGCGTTTTAAATTTGAAAATGTAACTGTCATTGACTGTCTCGAGTGGATAAATATCGTATCACACTCGATGCAGTGGTAGAATCTATATATCTCAGCTATTTCTCAAGTATCAAATAATGTTTGTACCGTAATGTTTCTGCTATCCAATCCTACCACTTTCAAAAGTTATTTCCAATTTATTTTTTAAAGATTCAATGTCTGAGATTATGCACATACACTGTCCCATGTTAGGGGAGAGTTTTGTGCCAGCTAACATGTTTAACCCGCCACATTCTGTATGTACCTGTCCATAGTGAGGACCCAGTAATTTGGTGATTGTTGATTGTTGCTGTATATCATATTTATTTTTCATAATTGTTTTGTACATAAATCAGTCTGCTTTAGTTTTATTGTTTTACATTTGTCATTTCGTGGTCGTTTATATCTTACTATGCAGTATAGGTTTTGCTAATTGTTGCAGGCTGCATGGAGGAATATTCTTTTCAGAATAATAATTTCAATTATGGTGTCCAACAGTGGTGTATGGTTTAATTCCACTATGTTCTAGAGTTTGAATATGCCATATTAGCGCTTTTAGTTGGATCAGCTGGTGCCACTATGCACAATTATCAAATCATACCTGAAACTATCTGAAATGGTGTAATTTTCTTGTATACTAGTATTACAAGAAATGCTGATGTTGTTATAATGGCCTAGCAATGATGCAACATATATTTTTGAAGGCTGTACGGTTGCCTGTAATTGCTTACATCCACTTCATTTGAATTTTGGTGGATAGTTGTCTCATTGGCAATCATACCACATCTCCTTATTTTTATAATAATTACACATGTCTAATCTATAATAAGCTATTAACACAACGTAATGTTTTGCCTATTTGTTATTTTGATAATGCAAATGTTACACTTAAAATAGTAATACTTTAACATGTAAGTGATATTCAAAGTCAATGAACCATGACTGAAGGTACAAGGCTAAACAATCTCTATGGAAATGAAAGGTGCCAATGCTTGTTCAACTGCAAACCAAATACCATTGACTTTTCATAAGTCGTTCCCTTTAAACAAACCTTAACACAAATTCAATTTCTAAGTCAATGAACCATAATGAGGGGGTGGGGTTATATAATATCCATTGAAATGAAACTTTTGAATACCAATACGTTCGCATAACAAATAGCTTTGACTTAAGATTACTGGTAATTTTAAACTGACATAATCATAATAATCACAAACTCATTCATGTATACTAAGTAAAAGTTTCAAAGTCAATAGATCATGCATATGACTGAGGGGTGAGGACCAAATATCCTCTATGGAAATGAGACGTACTAATGCTTCTACACCTACATGCCAATTATCATTGACCTACCACTATTGGTTTCCCTAATACTAACCTAATCGAAAACTAATAAATGAAATTTCAAAGTAACATAAGTTTTCAAGTAAAAAGAGCATGATTGAGGGGGCGGGGCCAAATAATCTCAATGGAAATTAGAAATGAAAAAGTTTATACAACTGCACACCAAATATCATTGACCTACCACTAGTGGTTCCCCCTAAACTGACCTAATCACAAACATATACATGTAAACTATGCAAAGTGTCAAAGTCAATAGACCATGACTAAGGGAGTGGGGCCAAATATTCTCTATGGTAATGAGATGTGCCTATGCTAACACAACTACTTACAAAATGTCATTGACCTACCAGAAACCAGACCTTATCACAAAATCACAAACTAATACATTGTTGATTCCGCCAAAACAGCATGCCTATATATATATATATGTCTCACTTTTTGACTCTGTCAAGGCAAGACAAAAAATGCAACAAAATTAATACAAATATTTTGTCCATCTTTTTTTAATATTCTTCATTTCTTAGATATATCAATGCTGCGTTCACACATAATTCGAATTCGATTCACATTATTAACTGATTTGAATTAGTTTAATACGCATTCGAAACGTTTAATGTCCAAAAGTAAATTCTACTTGGAATTGCAATACACGTCAAAATCGCTTTACTGTGAATGCAGGGGTTAAAATTAACATTTGGTACTGGACAGTCCAGGACCTTTGACACTCCAAACTGAAAGGTCCACAACCTAAATTCCAGGTCCTGCTTTTACTTGAAATAGTTCATAACTCAGTAAGATACTTTAATGTGCTTTTGGTGTTAAGTTAGCTTGTTTCATTGTCAGTGTCACTGTCGTTTAACTTGTTTAATAATAAATGTAATTGTCTTGTATATTAATTTATGAATTCAAATAATCTTTTTTTTTGTATTAGGAAGGCTGAGGGAAGCTGAGGGTATCACTGTGGGTGGATGTGTTGTCTCAACAATTGATTATTTATTACTAATTATACCATTATATTAAACAGTTCAAATTCAAAACTGTTTAAGTGTATCATATCTAGTTGCACTATATATTATATTAGCTAGTTCCTCTGTGAAAATAAAGTAAGAAACTTCCAGATTTTTATAGGCCCTTCAAAATTGAGAAGAAATTACCTCATGGAATTGTAGTAATATGTTTAAACAATAAAAACATCTACATGTAATATCAATATTTATTAATGATAAGGAAAATACTGTCACATTTTATTGGTTTTTGACATGAAAATTTGTGAACTAAAAGTAATTTTGAGTTTCTGTATAAAATATTTCCTGCTTTTTCTTTCTTTTCAATATATCTTTGGTTTTCAATTCTAGAGTTTATATTTCATCATGATAGATGTATTTTGTCTCATGCCTGGAATTATTATATTTTTATTGTATTTGATCGGCAAACCCGGATTTTCCCTTATCCTCCCCCGGAATTAGATCCGGTATTATAATTGTCTTCATTTCCGGTTTATGGCATCCATTGTTTTTCGATGTTGTTTTTGTCAGTCAGATACGATTTACTCGGATTTACACATAACATGTTGGCGATTTTCGGTATAAAGCTAGCGGTTGAACAAAATGATTATTATCAGAAATCACCAAATTTAAAACGTCCTTGATTTACGTATTGTCGACGAAGTTAAAATTACCGCCAACTGAGACTTCAACTCCGTGTCATATTAGTCACAGCCGTTATACAATATTCCTGCGCTTTGTGCCATTTGGCAACTGTAAACGACTTGTAATTAGAGATTTTCGGCGATGAAATAATTCATGCAATTGTTCTTTGACATCTTGGCCAAAAGCACAGGGGATAATAAACTACATAAGGATTTCTATTGAGCACTACTTCCTATGTGCAACTTCAAAACTTTTGGGTGGTTCGACGATCATTTAAGGTTTTTCTGGTCATATTTTTTGTATTCCAGAATTAAAAGTATGAAAAAAGTGTTCAATTAGTTATAAATAACATAATAGCCAGCCAGATAATAACAATGGCACATATTTCAGCATTTATTGGGTATAACACAAATCTAGGGTGCTCGCATAAAGCAGCTTAACTGCTTAAAAACTAGTACAAAGACAATAACTACTAATAAATAATTCATGTTATCCATTCCTATAGTATCAATCAGTACACATCCAACAGATTTGGTATAAAGACGTAACAAAACTTCCTGAGAAATACACGACATTGTGCAATGCCAAAATATAAGTACATAGTATCGACAGGATGCATGTGGGACAATAACTTTGATCAGGGACTTTCCGTTTTGAATTTTCCTTGGAGTTCGGTATTTTTGATATTTTACTTTTTGATAAATGTATAGCAATACATATTTAGTTATATTTGTTACTACGGTGTTAAATTGGTATCCTTCAAACCTTCTCTCATTGGTTATAAACGTTTGTATTAACAATATGAATGAATGGTAATTATATATTGAAATATGATATGAATGTTTACAGAATTGCAATTTGAAAATCAGTTTTGTGAAAATTGGTTATGTTTTTAAGCTTACAGAATATTGTCTGACGGATTTATTTTTCAACCAAAATAAGCCAATGAAGATTTTATTCTTTTAGGTCTAGAATGCATTTTTTTTATTCAAAGGACAAAAACATATACATGTATCAGAATTTGTTTATTATTTTTCAGGTAATAGAATCTGGTGCACCACAAGATCTACTGACGGATCCACATTCATTCTTCAATACTATGATAGCTGCACAAACAGTTAAAACTCCTTCACCATAGTGATATCAAGATTTTAAAGACAATTATGCAATACCACATACGGACATCACACATTTCTATGATTATGTTGGAATATACCATGTATATGTTTCCATAATATTTTTGCCATACAATTATTTAATAGCGCAAACAAGCATTTTCATTTTAAAACAAAAAGTAATTTTATATATTCTGGTACTACTAACGTTTCTCTATGACTTATCAATTTGGATTGTCCCTCTCGTATCTTCCGTCTCTCTCAACAACTCTTGCAACAACTCCTGCGATAACTGTTTGAGGGGTCCGTAGGTTACCTATTGCAAGGTAAAATTTCTGCCGTATCCAGCATAGCCCCATTTTCCAGTGGCAGTGTAAATTCGTGCTCATCAACCCGGTCATCATGGAATATTCAAGTAGTATTGACCGTTGGACGTTATGCAATCAACAATCAATAAATCGTATTGCTTTAACAACCATAAATTTTAAACAATCAAATCTGAATAAACGTAGCTGCGACAATAACATATATGTACATTTGTAAAATTGTTTATACCAATTGAAAGCAATTCATATGGTCTTCAACAGTAACATAATTCAATACTGTCCTCACTGACATAAAGTAAGAATACCACACGAGAATCATTCAATAACAAATGATATAAAACTTTCGAAGGCATAAAAAACTTAAGGGCCTTTTCAATCATGCTAACCAAATAATTCTTCTAAAATACATATAAGATCAAATTTGTTGTCAAGGGCATACACAGCGATTGTAACTTGAAAGTGTACAAATATTTTGAATAATGTATCCTTTTAATCATGCCAGTTCATACAGTTCCGACTCAAAGGTAAGCTGGGGTTTTGACGGATGCTATCCTCAGGTATCCATTTGCAATCCAAAGCAGCTATTTAGACCCAGTAGTTTTTTAAAAACGCAAATGGGGTACCAATTGAGATATAGATTAATTTAGGTTAATTTTAGCAACATATTATTACATGCTACATTGAAAAGAAGTTTAAAAAATATATTTGAAATTAAATTCTTAATGCTAGTATTTTGAAGACACAATTCTACAGGCATCAAATACATTAAAAATTAATACGCTTATCGATGATGTTTGAATAGATGTCGTTATCGATTTTACAGTACGTTTGCCCCCTGATATCAAAATAATAAATTGGTTCTATTGTCAAGTTAATATCAAAACCTTCCCTTTTAAGCGTAGTCTTCATTTGTTTGAAAGTTGAGGTTATATCTAGAAAACGAGTAAATCTTAAGAATCTTGGAATAGCATATCCTGCTAGTTGCGTTCTACATTGTTCCTCTATTTTAGAAAGCATTTCGTCAGTCGGTTCTACATTGTCAAAATCAACCAAATGTATTGTTGCCATCCCAGCTCTTCCTTCACAACCTGAATTATCAAACATACACAATATGAGCTGTTGTGAGATAATTATTATTTGTAATAACAAACTTAAGGTTCTAAATTCAAATTATCAAAAAGAACTGTTTACAATCTATAATGCTCGTTACTAACTTCATTTAAAGGGGTGTGGTCCTTTCACAAAACTTCTACAACAGGTACGACTGAAATCGACACTTCATAAGTATTACTGTCATCATCACGAAATAGTAGACTGATACGTGGTGTCTGTGTCTCAACTTTCTAGCGCCATGTTTTCGCCGATTTAGATCTTTAGAATAGTTTTCTGACTGTCAATTTATTGATGTTGTGCTATTCCCTATTGCGACATTTGAATGCGGATTTGCATGTCGAGTAATACATGCATATAAGGAGACGCTTACGTCTGGCTTACAAAATTATAAGTTTTGGTATCTTTGATGAATTTTTTTACCATGTCGACATACTTGGTATCGCTTCTTTTAAAGTTCATACGATTTCCTCATTTAATTTGATTATTGTTTACCTTGAGCTGCCTGTCATGAATTGATTTAAGAGATTTGAACATCTGTAAACAACTGTTGCGTCTTCTTTACCTACTATCTTTACAAGTAAGCTGTCATAGCAAAAAGAATGTACATTATTTCAACCATATCAACTGTAACAGTAGATGTGACTAGGACAAAACATAAAATATAAACACCGAACATCAGCCTTCTGTTTTTGGAGAGCTAAAGAAAAGTTAGATTTAAGTAAGATTGTATGGCAGTGATTTAACATCGTCATGACCTGTAATGAATTGTAAAGGTTTATAACAAATTACTTGTTAATATAAAAAAAAGATGTGGTCTAATTGCCAACGAGACAACTTTCCACAGGAGACCAAATGACACAGAAATTAACAACTATAGGTCACTGTATGGCCTTCAACAATGAACAAAACCCATACCGCATAGTCAGTTATAAAAGGCCCCGAAATGACAAATGAAAAAAAAAACCAATTCAAACGAGAAAACTAACGTCCTAATAGCCTGTTCTTATGTTTTGTCTTGTAGTATAACGCATACACAACTATACTTCGACTATACAAACAACACGTGTATCTATTCTACTTCATAATTGTAAGAGTCAAAATTTAAAAAAAACGAGCACTAATCTCATCATTCCCGCTCTTTCCAACTTTCTTGTCTATTCAAAACTGTGATGGCAGATCTGAGAAGGCCTCTATTGTTTTCATTATATCTTTATCTACACTCTAGCCACTCCTCTACTATTGATAACATTATGTTGAATCCTCTTTTTTGATTGATTAGTTCCTATGGCTACCTCAATTCTTGCCACTGAGCATCTCTTGTGGGTGTCAACAACAAATTCTATTCAGTCGCAAACAAATGTCATGTCTTTTACTTTGATCTACAGTCTTGATATTTTGCTCTTAAATTTACATTGAGCCCAAACCTCGTTTAAATCATACATATATACATATAATGTTTATGAAATCAAACATATATACATATAATGTTTAGGAAAAATCAAACTGAAAACGTCTTCGATCGCCTGTCAATAACAATTGATCTTTAACTTTAAAAATTTTCCACATGATGACACCTTATCCTAAATGAGGATGAGCTACACCATTTATGGGAGACATCTTGATGTCAAAACTTGCTCTTTAAAAATGTACAACTGTTAATAAACAGCATCAATCGTTCAATCGCCCCAAGTCTACAATTAAGTATGACAAGGAACTATTTTACCACATACATGTCGTTTAATGTAAACATAATTACCTGGCACCGTAACACCATAAACACATGTATCTGTTATAAATGATAGCTCAGATATAGTGTTAGCTACTTCAGTAGTAGACACGTTTTCACCTTTCCATCTAAAAAACAGATACATAAAAATGATAGATCAGATAGGTTATAATCTAATGCAGTAGTTGACATTTTTGTTTACCTTTCAACCTCAAAACTAAATTCTGTATTATTTTAAAACATGCATACGTACAACTATATTCATAGGTGATTCTCTTGATTTCGTGTAATGAACCTGGAAGATAGCAAAGGGTGCAATAAATATTAAAATAAAAAGATGTGGTATGATTTCCAATGAGACAACTCTCCACCAGAGACCAAATGACGTAGAAGTTAACAACTATAGGTCACCGTATGGCCTTCAACAATGAGGAAGACCCATACCGCATAATTAGCAATAAAAGGCACAGAAAGAACAAAATTTAAACAATTCAAACTAAAAAACGCACGGCCTAATTTATATATAAAACAATAAACGAAAAACAATATGATGTACAGCAACAAACTACAACCACTGAATAACAGGTTCCTGACTTGGTAAGTAAATATATTCTGATGACACTATATGATTTCTGTAAGCAAATGTATTGAATATATACGTACATTTGTGAGACCATAAAAGGAAAAAGGGAAAGGAAATTCTTCAAGAGATATAATTGATGGCTACCCATATATATCTTACCTAAATGTATCGCCAAGTCTGTCATAAAAGAATATGTAATAATCCTTGTCAATGTAGAGCAAGTCGCCAGAATTGATGTATTTATCTCCATCTTTAAATACATTATAAAGGAATCTCTTTTTATTTGCATCTTCTTTGTTTTTATATCCCTCAGTAGGCATTCGCTTATCGAATCTGATTATCAAAAGCCCAGGTTCACCTACAAAATAAGAGTGTCTTGTATTCACCACAAACAGAAATCAGAAATCCGTGTTAGCATGAAGTTTCTCAACAAAAATCAAAATTTCAATTGGTATGCTGTTTCATTTACTATCGAATATTTGTTACAAAATGTCTGAACTTCCATCATGTATTTAAGATGTATAAAAATAATTATATAAAAAACATCAAAATTCGACAATTATAAAAGTAAATTGATTTTGTAGGTTATTGACTATAAAGATTTTTTTTTCTTGGTATCAAAATTAAATTCTTACCTGTCTCCACCGGAACACATCGTCGCTTATCATTACGGACAGGCTGGTTAGTAACAGAGTCAAACTTGATAAATGCTATCGGAAGTAAAATTTTCTGAAAAATGAAATAATCTCATTATTTAAACTTATAAAATTGATTTGAAACTCGCATTTTTACAAATGTTTATAGAATTAAAACACTTAGAGACCATGATTTAAAATGCATCTAGCAAACTAAGAGTCACAAAAAACACATATAATTTAAATGCAAATGTTAACAACAAATGCCAAGGATTAATGCTGTCAGTGCTTGTTAATCTGTATAATCACTTCCGTCACAGTAATATCTGTCGTTGTTATTGTTTGTGTAAATTGTTAACAATTATAACAGGATTCTTTTTTTAAAGACCTTTATGGTCTGGTTAAGACATTTCGGAGGTGCACTTTTTGTTATTTTTTAATGAAAGAATGAAATGAAATAAACATGCTCATTCGCCAAGTTAATAGAAGATATCGTTTTATCCACAAAATTACACGTATAAAAATCAAAAGTATTGAAGAAAACAATCCTTAAACAGGACCAAGAAATGTATCCTTACCAATAGAGGTGTTATTCGTCCAGTTGCCCCAACTGCATTGTAAAGATTACCAAATCCAAATGAAAGTTCAGTAGCACCATAAATCTCTATAATATCTTCTATCTTAAAACGGTTTTGGAATTCACTCCATATATCTTTTCTCAGTCCATTTCCAATGGCAGCCTTCACTGAGTGTTCTGTATCAATTGTATTCTTAAATTAAAAATTAAGATTGATATTGGTAAATATGGAAGTTTGTTTTCACGCACAGAATGTGAAATAATTAAAAATCTTTTTGACAAAAAAGTTTACATTTTAGCTAACGAAAGACTTGTCCGGAAATAAGTTTTTTTTTAATACACGGACTTTAACATCTACGTTTTGTTTTTGTCCCCACGAATAATTTACCAGCTAAAGTTATTCAAGTAACATATGAAACTTGTTGAACATTAAATTCTGTCGTATGTGTGCAGAGTTAAATGCTTGCCATGTCTTAATTCAGATTTTTTTTTCATTTTTTCATATTTTTTCTGAGAAAGAACAAAAAAAGGTATACATAAAAAAATTTCCAAACCGATTAACAAGCCCAGAAATAATCTCTGTATAATATTATGTTTGACAGGCTTTAAATGTAAAAAACGGAAAATGACACAATAATTGTATGCGTCTTATTCGCTTTCCTTGATTCACCTTAATCAGGATCGTTTTAAGTCATATATTTGACAAGAGTGCACACGTTGAAATGTCTCACCTGCTTTACTGACCGTTGATTTATGTTGAAAGTCTTACAAAAAAGGTTTACACATATAAAGTATCACATAAACTTAACATTTTTAAAGAACCATGACATTGAGGTCAAGTTCAGATAAATCCTGTCAGATTAATATATACACCATACAACAAATATAGTTGACCTATTGCTTATGGTAATTGAAAAGCAGATCAAAGCACAAAAACTTATCATTGACCAATGAACCATGAAAATGAGGGCAATGTCAGGTGATACTTGCCAGACAGACATGTACACCTTACGATTATTCCTACACCAATATAGCTGACCTATTGCTATAAGTATTTGAAAAACAGACTAAAACACAGAAACTTAAAATTGGCCGATGACCCATGAAAATGAGGTCAAGGTCAGATGATACCAACTAGAACGACATATACACCTTACAATCATTCCCTACACCAAATATACTTGACCTATTGCTTATAGTACTTGAAAAACAGACCAAAACGCAAACACTTAACATTGACCAATGAACCATGAAATTGAGGTCAAGGTCAGATGAAATCTGCCAGACTGACACAGTGTTTTCCATTCGACATTTAAGCCGGGTGTGCCGACCACCTTCTTTTGAAAGCCGACCACCTTTCCATTTTAGGAGGTGGTCGGCTTTTTTTCAAATTCCGGATTTTTTTCTGTTCCGCATCTTAAAAATTTAAATACTAATCGCGCCTCACTGATTGTTTTCATTGACAAAAATGGCGGATCATCAAATTTCAATGTTTTGTTTTATTAATCGGGGGAAGAGACAGGCAGATGACGATGGTGATAAGGAAAATTATAGGCCAAATAAGTCAACTAAAACGGATAGTTGTATTGAAATTGTTGAAATGGAATAAAAAGTATCAAAACAACGGAAAAGGCACAGAAGCGATCGCGAAGATAAACAGGTTGGGAAACGTTTACGGGAACCTGTATGATTTTACATACAAGTGTAAATACGTCTACCCCCAAATGAGTGATATCCCTTAAACGAGGGACTGTCTCTCTGGCAAGAGGTTATGTTAATTCTGTCGAAGAAAAGAAAAGAGAAAAACTTCGATTTTTTAACTCAAAAGGGGAAAAAATCGTTATATTCAGACCAACTTTTCTAAAAGAAGGTCCCATTATTTTTAATGATAAAGAAGATATAAGTCCAGGAATAAAAGAGATAGTCATTACATTGAGAGGTTACCCCTCATCTGATAAATATGAACAGGACTTTAAATGGCTAATCGTCACATAAGGAGGATATTACTGCTTTGTGTTCCAAAAATACAGCACTAAAGCGAGGAACAGGACAGAAACTTGGATCGATAAGATATGCATATGCAGGAGGAGGGAGTCCTACAAAAGCCATATCCGAGATCCGCAAAACTAATTTGTCAAATGAATGGCTAGCAGTGATAGCAGAAGAAGAGTTCAATTTTATTAAATGTGTATACAATACTAATCCTTCTTTTTGTGACCCCCTCCAACAGTAAAAAACCCGGTTGGAAATGTTAAAAAAAAAAAAAACACCCGGTTGCAAGTAATTTTTCACAACACCCACCTTACCTTAGTGAACAAGAGGCTCTCAAGAGCCTGAATCGCTCACCTGCATTTCAGAGGAGAAGATTTTTAAATGTTAGCAAACTTGATGAACAAATTGTGTAAAATTGTCTTTAAAGGGCAATAACTCCTTAAGGGGTCAATTGACAATTTTGGTCATATTAACTTTTTTGTAGATCTTACTTTGCTGAACATTATTGCTGCTTACAGTTTATATATATCTATAATAATATTCAAAATAATAACAAAAAACTGCAAAATTTTGCCAAAACTACCAATTCGGTGGCAGCAACCCAACAATGGGTTGTTCGATTCGTCTGAAAATTATAGAGCTGATAGATCTTGACCAACTGAACAATTTTACCCCCATGTCACATTTGCTTTAAAAGATTTGGTTTTTGAGATATAAGCCAAAAACTACATTTGACCCTTATGTTCTATTTTTAGCCATGGCTGCCATGTTTGTCGATAGATACAAACTTCGGATACAATTTATAAACCAGATACCCTAAGAAACATTTAGTTAAAAGTTGAGGGTAATTGGCCCAGTAGTTTCAGAGGAGAAGATTTTTAAATGTTAGCAAACTTGATGAACAAATTGTGTAAAATTGTCTTTAAAGGGCAATAACTCCTTAAGGGGTCAATTGACAATTATGGTCACTTAACTTTTTTGTAGATCTTACTTTGCTGAACATTATTGCTGCTTACAGTTTATATATATCTATAATAATATTCAAAATAATAACAAAAAACTGCAAAATTTTGTTAAAACTACCAATTCGGTGGCAGCAAGCAAACAATGGGTTGTTTGATTCGTCTGAAAATTACAGAGCTGATAGATCTTGAACAAGTAAACAATTTTACCCCTTGTCAGATTTGCTCTAAAAGCTTTAGTTTTTGAGATATAAGCCAAAAACTGCATTTGACCCCTATGTTCTATTTTTAGCCATGGCGGCCATGTTTGTCGATGGATCAAAACTTCGGATACAATTTAGAAACTAGATACCCTAAGGAACATTTAGTTAAAGTTTGAAGGTATTTGGCCCAGTAGTTTCAGAGGAGAAGATTTTTGAAATAGTTTACGACAACAGACGACGACAGACGACAGACGACGGACGACGACGGACGCCAAGTGATGGCATAAGCTCACATGGGGCCCTTCGGGCCCCGGTGAGCTAAAAATGGAGAACACTGTGACATGTACCCCTTACAATCATTCCATACACCACATATAGTTGACCTACTTCTTATAGTATCTGAGAAACGGACTTGACCACATAACTTTAACCTTATCACTGATCCATGAAATCAGGTCGAGGTCAGTTGGACCCAACCTGAACGACATGTTGACCCCACATGATGGACATGTGGACGTTGCAAGGAACCCATATACCAAATATAGTTATCCTATCACTCATATTAAGTGAGTATTTCACTTACCAAAAATAATTTTTTTTTCATGCAGTAAATGAACCACGAAAATGAGGTAAAGGATCATGGACATAAGACAGACGGAAACGTCGTAACATAAGGTATCTGCATACAAGGTATGAAGCATTCGTGTCTTCTACCTTTTGAAATATAAAGATTTATACAATTAGTTTACGCCGCCGCCGGATTGTAATCCCTATGTCTCGCATACTAAAATAGGTGAGATAAAAACCAAAGATGTATAAGCACCGTAATAATCAACACTCACAATCAAACACTTGGTCTTAATGATCTGGATCTAGTTTCAGAAGATAGGTTTAAATAAACTTATTTGTAAAAATACTTAAGTTAAAATGTTAAATGAAAAAACAAACTGATAACTATTGTAAGATTTGATTACAGTACACGAAATAGTATATCGATCGGGAATACTGCTGGATATTTTCTAAGTTCAGCATCATGGGAGTCTGCAAAATTATCAAATGTAAATACAAAGTTGGATGTACATGTGGAAGCACACATTCTAGATTTTTTAAAGGCTTCACCGTTGAAACCCGTTGAAGGTAATTATGAAAGCAGGCACTATGATAAAGTACAAAATGTAACATAATGGTCTAAATCCATAACCAAGACAGTTTACCTTACCAACAGAATAAAACACCCATTACCTACCTTGGGGTTATTGACTAAGTAGCGGCACATTTCTCCTATGTACTGAATTATGGTGACATTATGCTGACGGCATTCCTGGAAAAACCTGCTGGCAGAAAATCTTTCGGACAGAACCATTGTTATTCCTTAAGGGTAAAGTAAGTGGCATATTTGTATAATAAACATTGACGTTTTCAATCGCTCTTTTACATAATTTTTACTATCTCTCATCAAAATAATAGAATAATAAATTTAACCAAAGAATGCAACTTCGCCTATCTGCTGGTGGATGTTTTCTCTCCGAGGGTATCACCAGTCCAGTAGTCAGCACTTCTGTGTTGGATAAATTATCATTTAAATGTCACAATCATAAATCAACTGTTTTACAAAAGTTTTGAACTACTAAGGATTTTATACCCATAGGAATAGATTATTTAGCAAAACTTTTCGGAATTTAGGGTCCTCAATGCTCTTCAACTTCAAACATTATTTGGCTTTTTTTTAAATGTATTCGAGCGTCACTGACGAGTCTTTTGTAGACGCGCGTCGGGGGTACACAAGTTTAATCCTGGTATCTATAATGAGTTCAGGGATACATCTATTTACGATTACTCCTGGAGACATCAAATAGTTTTAAGGAATTAATTAACTTTTAAATAAATAATATAAACAAGTTTTAAAAAATGGACAACATCGTCGGTCAGAATTCAAAGAACCACATCTTATATGTAGGGACAAGGGTAGAGGATAGGAGTATGATTTATTTTTTCAAAGTATTTATGCTCTAAAATGACTTTTCATACAATATTTGATCTTTCGAAACGTCCTTAATTGCAGTGCATATATAAAAGAAATACATCTTTGAAAACAGTTTAATTTCCTTTGTTTTTCTATTAATACAACTTAAAGTTCGCTAATAACACATTTACTTACATATTATTAAAACTTGTCTGATGTAAATTCACCTTTATACTTTCATTTTTGTTGTTGCACCAAATACAATGAACAAACAAACGTTAATATCACTGATTCTGCGAGTTTATTAAAAAGTAGAAATTGCTTTTAAAACATCGGAATTAGAAACTCAAGAGACCTCAAACCTCAGTAGCAATAATTTTATTAATTTAGAAAATATGACATCATGGCTTACCATATCTTCTTATAGTTCCGACTCCAAACATTGATCCAGCAGAGTGGTAAAGGGGAAGACATGTGTAAAGTATATCATCTGAAGTGGTACTGGTTCTGTATGCCAATAAAAACCCAGCAAATAAACACTTTAAATGTGTCACAATAACAGGTTTCGGTAAACCTAAAATGAATATCAATTACGCATAATTATGAAGAGGAATTAATAGGGATTGATAAAAAAGAACAATCTGGCAATTGATAAGCTAGGTTCTATAAAACAATCGCTTTGATCAATGGGAATACAATCAATTTTCTATTATAATAGCTACATTTGTGTACGTACCTTTGAATTGAAATTAATTTTTAAGCGAAAGAAAGCGAACTGCCCGCTGACTACCGGTGAATAACAAATACCAATAGCTTGCCCTAGCAGAAGATATGCTGTATACGTATTTACCAATTTTGGTGATGATGATCTGGTATTCAAACTCCAGGGGCAAATATTAGGTCATATTATACGAGAACATGTATATGATGTAAATGTGAATCCTGATTTGTACTAGACCGACATGATGGGCAACACTTTCAACGTGGTAGTACACAATTAATTAATGACAAGTCGCCCAAACCCGCACACACTTTTTCTGACTCCGAGACGATTAACCTAAATTCGGCGTACTTAGCGGAGAAGCAGTAAGTACCAATGTTGAAGTCTAACTGGACTGTATGGTGACCACTAGATTGTTTTCCTATCGTTGATTTACTCGACATCCCTTTCATTCATTTCTACTTAGAAATATATACATTGATAGGTATATGACAGATTGTTTCCACCACGAAAAATAAATCATACGAGATGATTTATTTAAATAAATGATTCATTTGTGAGTGGAAGTGGGCAATCAACACATTTTAATTGTATTTTGATGCTTATTCCGGGGGGCACAATATGAATATGAATAGATATCGGTAGTACATTAACATTTTCAACTTTTTAGAGTTACATGTAAACATTGTGTGAGGAAATACATTTACTACAGAATAGATCATCTCTCATTCTTTCCTTACAATTTATTGGATTTACTATCGAATCTGTTCCAGGAGTAATCCAATTGACAATAATTGTTTCTTTTTGCTTAATTTTTCAATTTTTTTAAGATTGTCGCTTATCTCTGTTTCACCTTCTAAGTTTTTTTTTCGATTTTTTTGTCACTTTTCGCTTTTTTTTTCGAGCTTCCAAGGTCTATTTTTCTGTTTCTTTTTGTGAACTTTTTCTTTTTTTTATTGTTTTGTACCTTCAGCTCTTACTGTAATAAGTGATGCGTCAAATATAAATTTATATGTACATATATACAAATATTGATCGCCAAAATAATGCAAGTTCTTTTCATTTTGAAATAATTCGCATTGTAAAAGACAATCATTTTTTTTTATGTTGCTGAAGGCCTAAATATAACCACCATATATACCTTACAAAAACATACCCTACCTGTTGTACCCGACGTAAAAATTAAACAATTAGTAGACATCACGTTGACGTTTGACCTCATATCACGTGAGATTCGATCTTCTGGTGCAGCCTTCATTTCAAAGTTTAACCGTCTGAATATCGAAGGTATTTCGACATCTGTTGAATCAAAAGTGTACAAGTCAATGTTTTCTAATTCCTCAGCGATATCTTCTATAGCTGCATACAGTTCGGAACCTTAAAATAGTAGAACATTTGGTTGCAAATTGTACATGATGCAAAATGAGAACCCTTCAATGATGCGAATATCTAGAAGATGATAGAGCTTTATTACTTCCAGTGGCAAATTAAATGCATAGTCAGGACGAGAACATGTTAATGTGATTTGAAAATGAAATCTGTTTTGTACTACATGTAGACCGACACGCTAATCCAGAATTTTAACGTGCAAGTTCACAATGTAACACCCGAAGGAAGATATGTCTCCATTCCCGGATACATTATGCTGATTCCGAGAGGAACAGTCTTTTCTCTAATTCCCACAAGCCTCATGTTTGGTGGAGGAGCAAAAAAACAATTTTCAAGTCTTTGATTTGACCCGGCCAGGAAACGAACATACGACGTCTGTCACTCGAGGCTACAACGGGACCACCGAGATGGTCCAAAACAGCGCACAATTATTCTTCGTATAATTCAAGTAAAGGCATTGCAACATATTCTGTATGATTAAAGAATAAAAGAAACGTGTAAAAAGTACAAAATGATACTGCGATTCATTTCTTAGTATTCAATAGATTACACTAACTGTTTGTATATGTGTACAAGGAGGGTTTGGCGCCAACAAACTAGTTTAACCCCGGCACATTCTATATGTGCCTGTCCCAAGTCAGGAGCCTGTAATTCAGTGGTTGTCGTTTGTTGCTGTATATCATATTTGTTTTTCGTTCATTATTTTGTACATAAATCAGGCCGTTAGCTTTCTCCTTTGAATAGTTTTACATTTGTCATTTCGGGGCCTTTTACAATAGCTGACTGCGGTTTTACTCATTGTTGAAGGCCGTACGGTGACCTATATTCATAAATGTCTGTGTCATTTGGTCTCTTGTGGAGAGTTGTTTCATTGGCAATCATACCACACCTTCTTACTTTTATACTTACTTTGTGTGTGTCTTTTTCTCTATCAGAAATACCCCCTTGATGCAGGCAGAAACTTACCTGAGTTAAAGAAAACTGCTTTGGCTTCGCTCGAAACTATACTGTGAAGAAGTGACTTTTTTCTTTGGTTAAAATTAAGAAAAGCAACTTCTACTCCAATTTTCTCAAAACCTGTAAATAAGTCATTAAACATATTATTTTACATAAAATAAAATAATTTGAAAAATATGATAACTAAGCTTTAAACCGTTTTGCAAAGGTGAACAAGCATTGTGGCCCATTGTCTAAAAAAAACGAATTGCATTAAATCATTAAATGTAAATGAATTTAATAAGATTTACAATGTTTAACGTCAAAACTTTCACGAGAATAAAGAAAAATGGTGATTTTATGCAGTTTCTTGTTCCGTATCTCTTTTGCAAAAAAATCATGCACAGCTAAATAGCAAGACTTTTCTTATAGCTATCTATATATTCCAACCATAAATAAAGCTTTGATTTGGGTGTCCATACTGTTTGCGTTCTAAACTGTACTAAGATGCTGATACAAAAACAAGAATAATAAAATACTTTTACAAAGAATACTATTTCGTCCTGTTTTGTTGCCACGGTAACTTAAGTATGAAATTTATTTTTGTTTCATTTTTTTCCAAAATATGCACCTTACTTTACAACTTCTTTTTAATCCTGTTAGGTATCAAAAGTATTTCCAGACTGTCTACTAATCTTTGAACAACATACATGTATGATAACGCGAAGTTAGGTTAGTTTTTTTTATCTTTACCTTTTCCTCTCTTAATAACTGACTGTGCACGAGGTTCATTAAGGAATAAGATAGTATTTGATTGAAATTTATTAATTAATGATGCATACATATTATCATCATATATTAATTAGAAATATTTATCTTATAAAACAAACATCGAAACAATGAGAAAAGGCTTCAAACCACGTAAATTAATTATACTGGAGAAATGCAATTTATTCGCCACTCCAAAGACATTCCTATTATCATAGACTTTAAATGAGCTTACCAAACCACGTCCAAACAAAAGCGGGCTCATTGTATATCATTATGGCCACGGTATCACCTTGCTTCAAACCAAGACTTAGAGCTACGTTTGCCACTTTATTTGCCATTTTGTCCACTTCTGTAAAACTGTAGGACCTTTCTTTATGGATTATCATCGGTTTATGACAAAACTTATCAGCTGTTCTCTCAAATAAATCTATAGGTAATTCTTTTTTCCTCTTGCTCTTTTCCACTTGGATAACAGTTTTCATAACAATTGTTAGAAACTTTATATCTCCATATAACCATGGAAATTTTATCCGAAACAGCAAATAAAGAGCTCCCAGTGCACCAAAACAGGCTGTCAGAAACTTAAACATTCTATAAAGAAAAACGTATTCTTATCTCAACAAGGCTGTCAGAAACTTAAACATTCTATAAAGAAAAATGTTTTCTAATCTCATCAAGTTGTTGCTAGGTTTGATGAATCCATAACAAATCTTATCTGTACAGATTTGTATGATGTGATATCTTTTGTTTTCGTCAAATAATTGATTTGGAATTTTTAATTGGAAAGGGCTCTTGTCAACCATCTTTTTTTATGTATTTAAGTAACTGCTAATGGGTTGGTACCCCTGTCAGTCTACGAAAGAATCATTCGCTAATTCTAATATGACACTCTTCAAACGCTTTGAGTACATACCCCAATCTCCGGCGCAGAGCTGACATTCGCTCCGTACCTACTTCGTATCACTATACTGAATTTGTAGTGTAGTGTACTGAGTATACGGAACTGAAACGAGCGCTGTACGGAGATTGTACATACCCGTGGTAAAATATGAAAATATTGTATGTCAGCTGATCGGCAACGTCATGATTTGTTTGGGAAGTTCCCATTATACTCTCACGTCTTTTTATGAAAGAGTTACCCGAAACCAATCAGTGTAAACGACGTCATTGGATGATGACGTAAGAATATTAGCAGTCTACGGGAAATGCACGAACGTGAAACTAAAAGTTATCAAAACACTGAAACATAAACAAACGATGATGAAGAATTGTTGAAAGTCAATTTTCTTCAAAAAAAAATTAGATAATCATTTAATTTCGTCCAAACCTGTCTAAGTATGTTATTGTAAATCTTTAAGCATGTCACTAATTCAGTTTTCTTTGTTCAATATTAATATTGTGTTTAATTAATATTATGGGAACAACAAATACTTGCCATCACCTAGACCGCTTCAATCCAAAAAAAAAAAATGCCGTATTTGTCTTATTAGAGTAGAAATAATTCACGGGGGCTTGAATTTATACTGATTTTCCCCCTCGCTATCGATCGTGGTAAAAGATTTCGCGTAAGGGACCAACTCGTGATAAAATCAGTATAAATGCTAGCCATTTGAATTATTTCTTGATTAGACAATGCTGGTGTATAGAATATAGAATAGAGGGTAAACAATAAAGAATAGAGAATAATGAGGTGCTTAATTGTAAAGAATATATAATAATGGACAAAATAATAAATTACAGAAAAATGGCTTAAAGATTTAGTGTAAAAAAGGAAGACCCCATCCAAACAAGACACTGAGAAAACTACATATGCCACATTGAACTGAGAATAATGTGAGTATTTTTTGTTTGTTTTATTTTTTCTGCCTGTAGTTCATAATCATGAGGTTGCTATCAAAAATACTGAAATGCCAATCTGCAAAGATTTGACCTTTGTCTTTGTTATTCTATATGTTTTAGTAAATGACATATGTTTATCATCGGTAAAGAGTTTCAAACTTTGTAATAATAATTATATTAAATGTGCGTTCCATACAACATTGTACAATAATACCGGGTCATAGCGATTTGTGATAAAAATACAGGAGATATGATTAAGTTTAACCTATGCAGATACATGTTCTACATTGATCTAGTTTTCAAAGTTTATAAGAAAATAATGTGAATATTTTTTGTTTATTTTATTTTTTCTGCCTGTAGTTCATAATCATGAGGTTGCTATCAAAAATACTGAAATGCCAACCTGCAAAGATTTGACCTTTGTCTTTGCTATTCTATATGTTTTAGTAAATGAAATATGTTTATCATCGGTAAAGAGTTTCAAACTTTGTAAAAATAATTATTTTAA